ATCCGAGTGTTTAACCTCGTCTTGAAGCCTGCTTAATGCTTTCTCTTTTCCTTCACCGTATGTGAGAGGTATTTGTACGTTGAGAACTCCAAGAAGACAATATGCATGGTCTTCTGGCTCGGTCGCTTTGCGGGTTCGGGCCCACGTCATTCGATCGGAGACACTGAACTTCTCCAGAGGACAGCCCTGTAAAGCCTCTAATGGAATGCTAGTTATGTTGTGTATCAATTGCAGGAGGGATTCCTTATCTCCCAGTCGCTGACCTTCAGAAGAAAAGAATTCAACTGATGCTGGAGCAATAAGTTCTTGAAGCGTCCAAGCTCGAGTAAACCATTCGCTTGCCTGGAAACGTGCTTCCCATGTACTTTGCTGCTGGGCATCTGTCGCAGTAGCTACTGACACATCGCGAAGGAATACGTAACATTTTGCGGCGTTCTGATACCACCGGAACATCGAGTTGACCGCATTCGAGCGTTCACGGCTGTTGTATCTGTCGAAGCAACATGTGTCAACCCAAAAGTACTGTAGTTCATCTTGGGCAGCCTGTTCGGCGCAAAATCTGATCTTGCGGTAGCCATCCTTGCTTGCATAGGTGTTGTTTAGTACTTCCTGGTAGTGGACCTCAAGGTCGTCTCCCCACCATCTATGTGACAGGATTGCATACGGCGGAATTGTTCTTTTAGCGAAGTCTGTTAAGACCAGTCTTCCAGAGTCATTAAAGTGCAGTAATTGCATGACTGTTACAGGAGTTCGGGGATGCTAACACAAGAAGAGAGAACTGTTTAAGAAAGGGGAGGTTTTCACGTCGTCTAACTGAGTATGGAAAAGTAGGAAAGACTGATTTGACGTAGTCTCTTATAGTGGTAGGCTGTGGTGATCGTACTTGAGGCAGTGCAAAAACATGGCGCAGGCTCACCTGCACCGTCACGTGCACGCTGTACAGGTCATGAGGCAGCGCACAAGCCGCCTGCACTTCTCTAAGGCACATTCCCGGCTTCTAGCATGAGATCTGAGAAAAGTAATTTTGTTACTGTGTTGATCGTGAAGAGATATCAAGACGGAGGGAAAGTTCCAGCATTAAGCGACAAAGTGGAACAGCTACGTGGCCTTTATGACATAATATGAGAGGGCATAGCATAGCCAGTGAGTCGCTAACACGCGCCATTCTTTCAAATGGCTGTGCGACGCCAAACGCTAAGAAATTAGGCAACAATGCGGTATTCAGCCCTAGATTTTAGCTAAGCTGATTTCAACTTTTCTATACAGCCACTAAGTTTCATGCCGGGTTTTCTAAAATCTACAGATAGATGTCAAGTCGCCGCGACAGCACAACAAAATTCGGATCAAGTTGCTGCTCTTAGAATAGGAAGCTTACATGCCTGTCTACAATTTGTAGGATTTTCAACAAGATCTATCGACTTTGTAGTGGCTACCAGGCTGTTCTAAGTCAAGCTCTCGAGAGAAGCTCAATGCAGATGGTGGTATTGCACAGTAAGGAGTAAAAACTGTCAAAATATAATAATGACAGACAATAATTCAAGATTCAAAGCTGCTATCCTGAGAATATCTACGGTCGTACCTTGCTGTTGAGTTTGTTGTGTCGAAAAGTGTTAGTGGATTTTCGTCATGGCGTGTTTTTCGCCACGCAGTGAGGGACCTTAGGGGTCTATATATGCAAAGGAGTGGGCTAGTCTATGAGTAGTTCTTCCCCCCTGAGTGAGAAAATCTTTTATTTAGTGTTCGTTAATGTTAAGGTAATTATATAAAGTTTCCTTGAACTTGCTCCTGAAGGCAAAGCGGGAAGTATAGTCCGCTATTACCTATGCAAATAACATCACGGTGACTTTGTGGGAAATATGGTGATGACTATAATTCGAATAGTAGGACTTGCTTCTGCCAACATAGGCTCACAGAGAATTCGCTAGACTAGTATTATGTTAGGCTATAAGAGTCACGAAGATCTTACATAAAAGATTATCTTATGGGTATAATATACACGAAGGTCCCGATATCAACCGCAGCTCCAGTGCCCCAATCGCTAATCCAGCGAGACTCAGAGATAGGAGAGTGTATCTGGAGTTGAATTGGCTCAATAATACTTGATTAAATCTTTAAGACTCGGAGTTTGTCTAGGTTACTGATAAATTAGAACAAGGCAAGGCCCAATGCTCTCCAATATACCCGAATGAAATCACAGACTAAGGCTTATCAGAGCTGAAGGTCACGAGGTTCTCAATCGAGCTGTCACAAATATAACTGTATTTCATTGGAGAATTGAATGTGCTTCTTCTCCATAATCTTAACAGCCTCATGCTTTCCCACGTCATAAAATCCCTTGTCAGGTATGAAGAGTCATTGGTACTCGGACTTAGGCCGTTGGCTGAGAATATGTGTTTGTATACCTTGGAGTGCAGATGGGGCAGCAAAGATAGAAAGTCGGACTTTGGTGTTGCTTCGTTCCACATAGTGTTTGAAATTGTGTTTAAAGGAACAAATTGATTATCGGTAGGTTTGTGTATCTATCAACGACGGAACAAGGGTATAAAGGGAAAGTGACTAGGGTCTGAATAATGCTCGCTTTTAGGCGATAAACAACAAATCAGCCTCCGCAGCGAAGGCCAAACTTTTCAAAAGTGATAGAAAACATGATAGGTTAATACGTGGAAATAATAAACCTAAGTGTGATCCATCACTTTTACAATCCCCTTCTACTAGCCGGTTTTTTCGCATCCAATCTCTCACAACGTCATTTACCATGTTGTCCAAAACCTCCTACATATCATATTTCTCGTATTGTTTGCTCATCACCATAGCCTTGTTCTTGTAAGTTTCGTTGTTAAGTATTTCCCTCACCCTCACCCATATCTTCTGTGCGCCAGGCTGGCGCTCACCAAGGTTGATTCCGACCACTGACCACTGCACAATGGCATTCGTATTAGTTTTGTCTTAGCCAGTCCCGGACACAACCATGGGCCTTCCAACTCGAAGGCAATGTTGGACTGCCCCGTATCCGCCATTTGGAACAAGAACGTCCGTCTGATATTTGAAGTCAGCTAAGATATCCAGGTTCCACCCGAACGGAATACTTACCAACAGTAGCAACAAATCGTATGGCACAAATTTCGTTACCCTCGCATTTACAGGCACAACTAGATTCGGGACGTCTTCCGGCTCGATAACCACCAAGGATGCAATAACTAAAGCATCATCGCGACTTTTTAATTCTTCTGGTGTAGGCAGTACAAGGTCTTCTGGATTGGTATTCACGGTGCCTTGGCTAACAGCAATAATCTTCTTTCCGTCCTCCTTCGCCTTCGCAATATCATGCCACGGCTCACAAAGTTACTACTTTTGTACGACTCACGTGACCGTAGCGGAGCGGAAAGCATGAGCCGTAGTACGGACTGTTGGCCACGCTGTTGGGGTGCCTTGCCAACACAAAAAGGATAAGTGTCGTTCGATTCAAGCGTGAGTGGAGCTAGGCTGATGTCGATGTTTGCATCTGGTATGATTCTAGGTCCTCCTAGCAGAATGGGGTAACTACTTGCAACAGTTTGATCGAACATACTAATAAGGGGCTTCTTGCTGCCATACTTCTCCCGAAATTCTCGGAATTGAATTTGAATACTCTCTTGCTGATTAGGCATATCACCTGCCAGCACCGTTTTTAGTTGAACAATTCTTGGCCGACGCCATTGGAAAGGGACATCCAGGTTTTGATATCTTCATCGCTCATCTTGTCGTCATGACCGATCATTGGCGAGAAATTGATATTGGGATGGAGATTCGTGATGTGTTTCTAGAAAGTTCTTCCAGCGATGAAGATTATCAGGTATCCTAGGTCAGGTAATACGACTAGTAGGTCATGCTAGTCACGATAATGGGCGTTTCAGATCGAGGAGGGAGAAAATCATGGAAGAAATGACTCAGTGGAGTACCAGAAACGTACGGATACATGACATCTTGGAAAGACTGGAATGCCTCGGGAGAGTAAAACTGGAGAGCTAGAAGAGCAAGGATGGGGATGAATCCTAATGAGAGAATCCGTTGGAACGTCGACATGGTGAAGACTGGGATGGAAACCGAGAGGTTGGGATTGTAGAGGGAGGAAGAAAACCTTAAGGAATGTCAGACTGCTGTGCTAAATATCAAAGGTTGAGGTAGGTGACATAGACGGTTCGCCTGATTGTCAATCAGTCCAGCAGTGTTCTTTCCACGAGTACCGGCCTAGACTAGTGCTTAGGTAAGCTCTGAGAATTAGGGCGAAGGGAATCTTGGGTGCATGGATTTCATTAATGAAAACTACTCTGACGATATATAAACAAGGACGCTCGAGCCGTAGCGTTATTCTGTGGATGTTTGACACCCAGCCTTAAATCCGGGGAAGGATTCGCTCTCACGCAAATGATTACGCTTTGGACGGCGAATGTTGTCGCATTCCTGATACGGAAATCTTCCTTCCCTGAGCCACAACGGCCCCTACTACCTTGACTATGGCTACTCGACCATTACTATGGCCCTTACTGCCCCTTCAGTCATAGATGTAGATAAATACTCTGCAGCAGAGCACTTATACACTTCACAATACACTTCACTTCATCAGCTTCTACCTAGCTGCATGCTCACGCAACCTCTATTTGCAACAAATGTCCTTAGGCCTTGGCAGCCACGAAGAAAGGCCGAGCCAAATGCATCCACCATACATTGCAACCCCTTAGACAACAGGTATAGGAACACGGAGCAATCTAGAATGTGCCTATACCTATGTAGCCCTACTCCTGCTGGATAAGATCACATGGTATACACCCAATGCTTTGTAGCAATCCTAATGAAGACTCTCTACCGTAATGCCGCAAGATGCTACCGGTAATGGTTCACAACTACACTTCATCCACGCACAACACCGACTGACCACCGTCGCTCGTGACCCGGCTCCGTATCTCAACTTCAATGAGCTTTCCAGTGCCCTTGATCAGACTTCCGTCCTCATTCTGTCCCAACACCGCATTCGACGAATATATAAGGGCATGTCCTGTCGCAAGCTGCTCAATCTTCTGCATTAGCTCGATATGATCATGCCCAGCCATGGGAATGTGTTTCTTCAGCGCGGCGAACCATTCTGGGCTGAAGAAGCGGTGAATCACAGTTATAGAGCAGAGTGCGATAAGGTCGGTGAGAAGGACTGGCTCCTGCGTTGAGACGATAACACGTGCTCCATAGTGTCGTTGGAGGCGAATGATAGCTAGGAGGTAGTCGTTTAGGGCTTTGGCACCTGGGACTTCAAGCATGTACTGGTACTTATTTAGTAAACACGAAGGAAGGAGAAATGGAACTTCTTTACCTTGTGCGCTTCGTCAAGGACGATCATTTTACCAGGCGCCTTTGATTGTAGATACACCTGAAGCCCAATCTTGAACAGAACGCAAGCGGTATTTGCGTCAACAAAAGGACATGACATATCCATGATAGTCACTTCTCCAGGCTGGAATGTTGGTGCAGGACAACTATTATCTAGATCCAAGAACGATTCGAGTAGATCGAGACGCATGGTGAGCATGTTCAATTGGGTAGGATTGAAGTCACAAAGATCAATTTTCTTCTTGAAGTAGGCGTAGTCAAACCTACCCTCATGCTCCAGCGCAATCTCTCGGAGAATCTTGGTGACCTGCGCCATATAGAGGGGCGTACTATCCGATTGATTTACAGCCATCAGCGTAAGCAGTGTACCGATGCCAAGTGTCTCAGGCTTTAACTTGAATGGTATGACTTTAACATTAGGAATCCGCCGATACAACCTTGCCAGAGCTGGATTCGATGGAGGCACCATGATAGTGACTTTCTTGACCGAGGGGTGCCCAGGGAAATCCGAGTGAGGCATGGCAAGAAAGGCAGCTTCGCTGATGCTGAAACCGGCACCATCGACGTTAAAGTCGCCAAAACTAAACACTAGCGCTGACAGGGGGCTCTTCAGTTCGCCAATCTCGCATGAACGTATGAGGGCATTTTCTAGTTAATTAATAACTATTAGTAGGTGTTAACAGAGACATCGGTCGGACTTACCGAGAATACATGATGTCGTATGACTCTTTCCGCTTCCTTGAACACCGCATATGAAGGCGGAGAACGGGGTATTTGTATTAATGAATATCAGAGGGTCAGAATGGCCAGTATCCACAGTAATTTTCTCACCGAGGAAACCGTACTGGGGTACTAGATCAGTTTTGGCCGCTTCAATGGTTTTTCCAGAGAGCAATGGAGCATGCCGGACCTGAGCTCCTTGATCATCGGACTCCCCGCCGAGTATCATGTTTGCCCTCTTTTTGGTCATCAAGCGACCAAATCGGCTAGAACTACGGCCGATTTTGTTGGCGACTTCTTCCTTGGAATCCAGAGATTCATCATCAGATCCCACTGATATAGAGGCCCTTTCACTAGGCTATTCCCCAAAATTTATCAAGGCGAGCACATTCAAAGACTTGGCCAAGACTTACGGGTGTATCTCGAGGATTGTCTGCAAGCTGTATCTGTCTCAATTTCTTTGCTAAAAGGTCGTCTGACGGCTGTAAAAAAGAATAGGGTGGATTTAATGCAAGATTTGATGAAGAAGGCTGAACATAGTTAGCAGTGATCAAGTAGGTCGTCGACCTATCCATACCATCCGAAAGGCAAAATCGGAGACGGGAGACTGAATGGGAACCCCGCCTTGAACGATTGGTGGAGTTAACCGGGATAGATTGAGGAGATTCTGGGGGGCAATAGCTGGCTTGGCTTGCTGAGGTTGCTTGGGTGCACTACTTTGAACAGCTGCTGACCTCACCTGCTGAGCAGGTTCAAGGTTTGTCCCCTGTGATTCCGTGGGAGATGCCAATCTGGCAGCCGACTTGAAATTTGCCTGTTCGACCCTTCTCATATTTTAGTACGGTTTTGCATTGAGTTGACCCTATGATGGGTACATGGCGAATTCTGGGCAATACTAACTTCTTGACGGTATAAGTTGCCGCACTCAAGGGGAGACCGGGCCTGAGCTGGGATAGTGCGTCAATCACTGCATTTCGATTCTGAAAGAGGCCTTTTCCATCGAGAGGGAATCGACTACATAAAATCTGCACACAGTTAGCTATATTTAACGCATTTCCCTGCGGAATAGCCCACCAAAATCATACTATCATCCATCCTGTCTTGAGTTAGATAAAAGCCAATACTTAGGGGGGCTTTCACTTACCGCTTCAACGCTGCAGTAATTTCCTTAGCGTCGTTAGGGCGAATTTTTTGAAGTTCGTTGCGTAACTTGTCGAAGTTTAACGCAGGCAGCTTCTTCTCATCCCCATAGCGACGACGAAACTCGGCCTTTACCCACTTATTCACAGTTGGTTGCGCCATTGCCGGGAGCGTGTTTGAGTGGTTCTTGGCTTCAATTTTGGCGTTATAAGAATCTCCAGTCCGGGAGGTTATGGGTGGTAGGTAAGCAAATGACAAGGTTCCGAAAAGTTTTCCGAAAGTCGCGACGTTTTCCGTGGTAGGTTCGCTAAGAATCTGGGTCACGCGGGGGCACGTGCGCTAACGTTCTCCTAGGAGCTAGACTAGGCAACTATAAATTTATCGCTAATAAATATTGCTAATAACAATTAGTTAACACAAACAATTACTAAGTTAGACAAATCACTAAGCTAGATAATAATCTCTTAGCGCAACTAATACTATATATAAAACGCAATATTAAAATAATATAATACTAAACTTGTGTTGTTGTCGCTTTAACAATTCAACTTTAAATGTCTGTTTTTCTAACTTCTATAGCTTTATCCTTTGCTTGGCTGTATTAGCAACAGGGGAAGCTAGTACAGGAACTAATCTAAGAGAGTAGTGTAATATATAGATAATAAGATTATTCTATACTTAGTTATATAGCATGTAAGAAAGGCTTATAAGAAGGTGTTCTTAAATTACATGTATAGTAGTAGAGATAATCTAGGTAGAATATTTATAGTCTTTGTATAACGTACTTCACAGGCAAGTTGCTTACACACCTAAGTTGCTTACTTTTACTAAGACCCTACTAAACTACTTTTTCTATACTAATGCATTTCTAACAACACTACTTAGATGTGCTAAAAGAATATTAAATATAGCTTACACTTTAAGCTTTTAAATAAAATATAAAACTTTTAAAAAAACATACTACAGCTATATATAAAGTTTTTTAAAAGATAATAAATAACTATAGCACTAAGTAACTTTTATAAGCTAATTCTATAGCTAACTTATAAAGGCTAGGTAATAATAAGAAGTAGGTAATTATTAAGACTATACTTAAGCTATATACATAAAAATTATCTCTTTAGATAGCATTTATAGCTAATGTAGCTAATTTTTTACACACTAAGCATAATCTAGGCTATATTAGTATAAACTAGCCTAGTATGTTTATTAGCAGAGCTTGCTCTGCTTATAAAGTGTTATTTAAAGCTTAAAGTAAAGTTTTAAGTATAAGTATAGTTAATAAATATTTAGCCTATAATAAAGCCTATTTTACTCAAGTTGTACATGTTATTATTCTAGATACTATACTTAGCTTTAATATTTTTTATAAGGCTAAACTTGCTTTAAATTACTCTAGAACTTTTATAAAAAGCTTTTTTATAGTTATACTATGCTTAAATATTACTTTAAGCTTTAAATAACACTTTTTAAACATACTAAGCTAGTTTATACTAATATAGCCTAAATTATACTTAGCGTGTAAAGAATTAGCTATATTAGCTATAAATGCTATTTAAAAAGAAAATTCTTATATATATAGCTTAAGTATAGTTTTAATAATTACTTACTTTTTATTATTACTTAGCTTTTATAAGTTAGCTATAGAATTAGCTTATAAAAGTTACTTAGTGCTATAGTTATTTATTATCTTTTAAGAAACTTTATATATAGCTATAGTATATTTTTTTAAAAGTTTTATATTTTATTTAAAAGCTTAGAGTATAAGCTATATCTAACATTTTTTTTAGCACATCTAAGTAGTGTTGTTAGGAATACATTAGTATAAAAAAAGTAGTTTAGTAAGGTCTTAGTAAAAGTAAGTAACTTAGGTGTGTAAGCAACTTGCCTGTAAAGTACATTATGTAGAACAAATTAAAAAGCTAAGGGCTATAAATAGTAAAATAATAGCTCTTAAGTAAGCTCTTATGTAATTAGCCTAGAACTAATAACCTACAACTATTAATGTATAGATTTAGGCCCTATAACTTAAAGTGTTAAACTTTAAAAATACTACTTAAGAAAAAGCTAGTATTACTTTTAAAAAGACTTTAAAACTAGCCTTTTTAAAGCTTTTTACTAGAAGCTTAAAAAACCTTAAGCCTTTCTTTACATAATGCCACCTATATATGCAATATAATAAAAGAGCATTCTAGACCTATAAGAAGATAATCTTATAGATAAGGCTGCACCTAGACAGCTTACTAGCTGTCTAGTTTTAACCCTATGCTAATAATTAGATAAACTTTAAAACAAATAGCAGTGTGCTTTTACTTTAAACTAAAAAGATATTTAGTAGTATAAACTTATTTAAGAAAGCCTTGACTATAATTTATAAGCTAGTTAATAAAGAAAAAGTAGTAGCAGATAAAATAAACACCTTATAGTAAGAAAAAGAGACAGTTTAGCACTACACAGCCTGCTTTTACAAACAACTAGCTATCTATAAATAAATAGACTAAAAAGCTTTAGAAAGAATGTTTTATAAAAAACTATATAACATAATTAAAAATAAGTTTATGTATAATAGAAAACTAAATACTTTTAAAAAATATATTAAGTAGTAACTTATAATAATTAATATAAAAAATGTAAACATAAAAAAAAACTAGGCGCAGCAGCCTAAAAGCCTAAGCTAGCACCTAGAAAGAAGGCTCTCTAATATAGTAAAGAACTAATAGACCTTAGCTACATAAAACACATACATAGTACCTTCTAAAAGAATAATAAAACTCTTAAGAAAGGTAATAAGCTACTATTAAATAAAAAGTAAAAAAAAAGTAGCTTTAAAAGAAAGCTTACCTAAACTATAAAAAAGTAAGCTACTTTTATTAAAAATGCCTAGACTTTAGAAAAGTAAAGAATAAAGATACTACTATAGTAATAAAAGCTATTACTATTAAACCTAGTGTCGCGTACAGCTATCCGTCTATATATATCCTTCTGCTGTGCTAGCTGGGAGGTTGACCTTTTGGCAAACGCAACAGTTATGAGCCTGGTTCGCGGCGTAGTGTAGATGGTTAGCGCTTAAAAATTTGCGCACCCCTGCTCCACTAATAGGATTGCATTATCCTAGAGCACTGCGTGTTTAATTCCCACGCTTAGCAAAGAGCATTTAGGCAGTGCGTCTATTACAGAGGCTACCTTACTAGATCTGTCTCTAAGTTCTTCTGCTTAGGCTAGGAGGGTGTTGAGGTTGTTTCAACATGTTTCACCTCTCTCGTTCCACAGTTCGAGCTGGGGGGTGTGTCGCGTACAGCTATCCGTCTATATATATCCTTCTGCTGTGCTAGCTAGGAGGTTGACCTTTTAGCAAACGCAACACCTAGTCTTATAGAAAAAGACTTAAAAGAAAAAATTAAACACTTTTTTTACTAGTACTGTAAAGAAAACTACTTTTTTATAACATGCTTTATACTATACTAGAAAGAAAAATTCTAAGAGTTTAATAGCTTTAATTAATGTTATAATTTTTACTTAAGAGAGTTCTAGTTTAGAATGCCCTAAGCACGCAGGCTTGTGTTAGGTGACAGAGGTTATGAAGAGGCCTTCCTTAGATGTACAGTTCTTAGCGTGGCTCTAGTTAGGGAGGTAAGTAGGTGGCTGAATTGTGGTTTGCCCTTAGACAGCAGTATAGGCACTAGGTCAAACAGTCCTAGGGACAGAAGTAGAGGTATATATAGTGCAAGATATACAACTAGTATTACAGCTTATTATAAAGCTAGAATGCTACTTAGTTTATGTAAAAATAAACTAAACTTTAATTACACTCTTTTAAAGTTAATTAATAAGGCCTTTTTATTCTTTTTTTATTTTTATAATCATTGCAGGCCTAGCCTGCTAAGTGTTACGCTTACTGCAATCTGTTGTGCAGTAATTGTAGTCCTAGGTTACTAAGACTTGCGCTTACTATAATCTCTTATGCAGTGTTTCTATTAGGTAATGCAGTTTTTGTATAGTCTTTTACTAAGTTCTAATCCTCTTTATCTAGCTCTTTCTTATTAGGCATAAAGGGGTTCTATGCCTAGTTGTTTAGGTAGTGGGTGTAAGGACGGGGCTCCGCACCACTCCGCTAATACAACCAAAAGGTACGAATAATCAACCAACGTTGATTTTCGGGTGCAGAATAGTATATATACCTGTCGCACGTAAGCGCCATCTCGGCCTTACAGTGGGGCACATTAACTAGTCTCTAGCTAATCTAGTTATAGATTATAACACGCAGGTCTCCCTCCCTAGCAGCGTTCTTGCTGTTCTGCCTACTCTACTATAAGTGTTAGAATTCTTTTATTACCTATAAGTCCTTTTTAATAAACACTTTATAAAGGTCTATCTTTATTAACTATGCTTTAATAGTAGAGTTAAATCTATTATTTACAAGCTGCTTCCTACCTTAATCCTCTTTATTATGTAAAGATGCATCTTTGTAAGCTATGTTATTCTTCTAAATCTTCTTATGTCCTAACCTTATTATTAGACAAGTGTGTAGAGTGTGTAAAAAAAAAGCAGTAGGTGTAATGCCTTTATTTTAGATGCTACTTAAAAGTGTTTTAAAAAAAAGTAGTTAAAACTATTAAGTAACCTAAAGAAATTTTAGACTAAGAAGCTATTAGTATAAAAAAAAAGCTATTCTAGTCTTAAAAAACTATGTCTTAAGAAGTAGCTAGTAAGCTTTTAAAATTAAAGAGTAAAGTATTTAGAAAAAGACTTCTTATTATTAAATAAAATTAAAGCACTTAAGAGAGAGGCTGCTAGTCTTTCTCCTTCTTAGCTAGCGTCTCTAGGGTCCTGTTCTTGTACATTGCTGCTATCTAATAATAGTAGGGTGCCTTCTTTAGCAGCTAGGAATGTGTTCTCTTTTAAGCTGCTGTCCTCTAGCTAGTTTTATTTAAATAAGATAAATATCTTTTTAATAGTTAGTAAGTGTTTATTAAGTTCTTAATAAGTTCTTATATATTTTTACTAGTAAGCTATTCTTTCTATTTAACTAAAAGTTCTTATCTTTTTTTTTAGTTGCTTATAATGTGTTCTACTTTATATTCTATTTCTACGTCCTTTTACTTTATTATAGATAGTAGAATCTGTTTTAGAGCCTTTTTAAGTTTTAAAGAGTAAAACTATAAGTGTATTTTTATTATAAAAGGGAGCTTAAGTTTATAGTTATTTCTTTATGTCTATAACACTTTATAATGTGACGTGTCTGTACGCGTGCCGAGCCACTTCGCGTGACGAGCCACCCAACACCAAAACACCAAAATATTTCCTCCATTTGACGCGTCATAACTCTATCAATATGGAGGCAATCGAGGACGCGATTACGGCTATTGAATCCTTGAATCTAGGAGAATCATTTTCGTACAGAAATATTGCTGCTATCTACGGTGTAAATCGAACTACGTTATCCCGAAGCCACAAGCGCGTTCAGGCCCCAAATAAAGCCAAGAACATCAACCAGCAGAAGCTCAACCTACAGCAAGAGCAGGGGCTTGTACGATATATCGAAGGACTCACAGAGAGACATATACCTCCTACTAGGGAGATGATTCAAAATTTCGCCTCTGCAGTGGCTAAGAAGGCAGTCAGCGAGAGCTGGGTTACCCGCTTCATCAACCAACACAGCATTCATCTCGTCTCGCAATGGACAGTCAGCATGGACAGCAATCGCCACAAAGCTGATTCAGAGGATAAATATCGCCTCTACTTCGACCTGCTACACAGCAAGATCAATCAACACCAGATAGAACCTCGTCATACCTACAATATGGATAAGAAAGGCTTCCTAATTGGTATCGTTGGCAGATCAAAGAGGATATTCAGCCGACGAATGTGGGAGAGAAAGGAAGTCAGAGCATCACTCCAGGATGGCAATCAAGCGTGGATCACAGTCCTAGCGTGTATCTGCGCTGATGGATCAGCTCTGCCACCAAGCCTGATCTATGAGGCTGCCAACAAGGGCATTCAATCAGCCTAGGTAGACACAATCAAGGCAGGAGAACATGAGGCCTTTATCACCTCATCCCCCTCTGGCTGGACTAACAATGATATTAGACTAGCCTGGCTTGAACAGGTGTTCAATCGCTGTACTAAGGAGAAGACCTGACGATCATATCAACTATTGTGATCAGAATCGGATCCTGCTTGCCGGCGGAAATAATTCTCTCAAAGCCGAGCAACCTATCCAACATGTCTTCGTCTCCTTGGGCATCTGGGCCAGGGATGATGGTAATGCGCACTTCTGCTTCCTCGACTGGCGCACGACGCAACACAATCTGTGTGGCGAAGCGGGTACACAACTCACTGGCTACAGGGAATGACAGCCCAGTGAGTCCCTCGAGGAGAGATGACTTTCCGCTTGACTGATCACCAACAACAACGAGCTGGCTTCGATCAGCTTCAGGGACCAAACAGTTGTCGTAGGTACGAACCTGGGGCAGAGAAACGTTCTCACTGATTCCGAGCTCACGGAGCTTGTCTATGATACCCAGTATCCTGAGTCGCTGCTCATTGTCGAGATCGCCAACCGACGAGAGTTCAAGTCCTCTTGCCATGATATCGTTGGTATGGTTGCTGGGAAGTAGCTCGTTTTCCAATATGTATTGCTATGCAAAGGGAACAGAGCACCTTTATATTTATAATTAAGCTCTACCCTGTTTGATCTACTTTCTTTGTATAAGATCTATCCGGAAACAGCCATATCACCAAACTGTTTGCGGCGAAAGGGAGATTTGTAAATACGGGCTTAGCATGCAGCGTGCACTTTAGCTTAGAGTTGAGAAGTGTTCTGGGCTGCAACCAGAGACGCCGACCGATAGAGGCTCCGGATTGAGTTGTTCCTCGATTGCCAAGGCTTTCGGAGGCACGCATTTTGATTAGTCCGTTACGGTACCTTTTATAGAATCGACCATGTTTTTGCTCATATTTCTGTACAGAACGATGCACTTCTGCACACGCTAAAGAAAGTTGTGCCGACGAACCCCCTCCAATTCGGATCCCAGGAGTTGTAGATGACTGGGGGATACTGTTCGGTGCCAACGGTAGGCTCCTCTAGGTAGACCTAGTAGTCGCCGAACCACTAGAAGCTAATGTTCTTGTGCTGGCCATCGATAACATTGCGAATAATCTTCGCAGCCTGTTCGGCATCGTCGCCCTCGTTCCTCGCTAGTAATCCAGATGCATACCAAGCTAATGATCAAGTTTCGTATGTCAAAGCGTCCGCATCCAGAGAGAAGAGATACCCCGCGTCAGCGTCATAATACATGTCCATCCAGTTCATCAATTCATGAAGAAGATTACAGGCGTAGCTTTCAGTGTTGTTGCGTTGGACATGGCTGGTAGCTTTGCTGAACACAGCATGCAGAAGGAGGAGGGGTACAACACAGCGCGATACCGTAAATTCGACCATGTTGTCAAGCTCGAAAGCGTTGCGGACGTGAGAGAAGACAGAGGCTCATGGTAGACTGAAAATAACCGCGTCCTTGCGAGACGCTTTATCAGCAGCAGCTGCAACCACAGAGCGCAACGACAACAACAACTATCTTGTCGGAGAAAAGCATAACTTTAGGCCATAGTAGGCCTGCCGCCCCGGCAAAGTAACATCGAGTTCACCGAGCTCATGCCGGAAGCATAAGAAGGGAAGGCAAGAAAGTCCGGCGCAACGTGTCGATCGCAAGGTTCATAGCGCGTCCGAGCTTTCACCGGCACGGACTCTCGATACGGCTAGCGTGTCTCTTCACGTGATACACGGGGAAGGTTTGCAGCGCCGCCGTTGTAAAGTATGGATATCAATCGATTATTAGAGCAATGACAGGTCCTACTCGCGTCCGATTACCTGCATCTTCTTGTACATGTAGTGGCCTCTGACCGGCTCCTTACGCTAAATCAGTACTATTCGTAGCCCTACATAAGGTTTTCCAATAAGCTCCCCACTTAGGATAGATCATATTCAACAAATCGAGGATACCAGTAATCACCCCGCAGAAACTCTAGTAAATCTTGCCTCAAGCGACCTCTCTAGGCCCTTAGCATATTTGCAAACATGCCTGGGGATTGCCTCTATCATCAACGATATGTCTTCTTACCTCCTTGGATTTTATAGTCGGACCTGAATGAGGCGGTCGAAAAAGGAGATGAGCTTATTCGGTAGGTATTTTATATCGATGAAGCGTATGATATACTCATTTTCTGGGTCTGTTTCTAGCCTTTTGCGCGATTGGCACGCACCTCCCTCGCTAGGATAGATCTCAAATCATCCACGGAACCGGGATCGCATGCCGAGAAGAAGCCACTGCACTATCTCCCCTGCAATGATCGCTCATACTTTTGTCACAAACGGCGCCTATTCGTGTTTGATCACCAGCGAAGCGTAGGGGATTTTGGTACTGCTAGTGGCGAAGAAGGCCTGCCCGCTCTTGCCACACCCTTGTCCGTGAAGGCAATAATATGGCTTATATGGCTTAGTGTTACCCTACCAAGAATGACTACAACAGCATCAAACTGGACTGGGTGTATAACGAACATTTACGAGATTAAACAACTTGTATGAAGATCCGTATACGCTACAGATGCTTGAGTTCTGGGAGTGCGTGCTTAATGGTAAGGTGGTGAAGACATCGGCTGAGGATTCGGTGAAGGAGCTTGATCTTTGCAACACAGTGCTCCAAGCAGGAGAGACACACTACAGGCTGAAATAATGGAATCATCATCTAAGAGCTTCAAAATCGAAATTCAAGCGAAGGTGGCAACAAACACTGAACTGAGAAGAACCAAAAAGCCCGGGAGGTAAAAGTCAATATGCAGAAAAGATCCCTCGAAGACTAGCCAGGATTGACGCAGGCCAGCTGCAGCCTCCGTTCCCAGTCCGCCGGCAGAGTAGGAATGAAAACACACAAGACAGAACACCAAAACCGAAAATCCCCCTATTTGCCTAAGCAGTCTAATCCATATTGTACGCGACCGGCCACTGCCTGCAATTGTTCGTACCCTCCCACGTGCGATATTTGCAAGCCGCCGGGTACCCGCCATTATTGATCTTGTCCTCACCCGAGAAGTTCGGAAATTCTTCCTCAGGCACCAGATTCATCCACACCGTGTTCGCCGCATTGTCGAGGCTGCCTTTCTTGACCTCGATGCTGAAGAAGCAGCGCTTAATGTCTGTTCCGGGGCTGGTAGCTGATAGAGTCGGAACGCCGATTTTGGAATCGTTGTTGAGCCAGCAGTCGATGATGTTGCGGTACCTGAGCGGGCGCAGCTAGTTAGCTTACTGGAGACTTGTGGTGATCGGGAGGGGCATACGTGATGAGCCTGTCCGCGCCGTACTTGTCCCAGAGGGGTTTGGCGAAATCGTTGTTGCCTTGAATGGAGTACGTCTGGAGCTCGTTACCGAATACGTCGTGCTTCGCGATGCTTCCGAAAGAGTAGCAGAGATTGGCGTCGGGGTCCCAAACTGCACCGCCACCTACGCATTTGTCCGCCGAGCTGTCAGTGAAGATGAAGAGGTATGCCTGATTGAAGACGCGCATAAGATGAATTGCGAGGGTTTGCATCTACGAAAATTTACCATCAGTGCGCTTCTGGGACGGAGCTGATTCTGAACATACCATTCGGTTTCCGACCTCTTTGAAGTCTGCTCGGAGATTCTGGTCTGGATGCTCGAGCAGCCAAGCCCCTGCGCCCATAACCTTCGGAATCTTGTGCTGGTATTCAGCGCTGAAGTCGTCTTCGTGCAGCATCTCCGCTGGAAGCATATCTTCACTAGTTCCTTCGCGGCCATGAATGGCATCTTGTATCTGGGTAATGGCCTTGTAAGCCTGTTCACATGTAGCACTGGTAATTTTGGCTAAATCAGCTTTGACCTTGCCCATCTTTTCGAACGCCGAATCTTGGTTTGGCGGTTTTGTGTTTGCAATGATCGCCGAGATACCGCCTAGAGCCCCGAGGGGTCCAGATATGGCGGGATTTGCAGCGGTCGCGCCGGCAGCCATGCCTAATGCACCGGCTAGTATCGCGTAGAAGTTTAGCTCCTTGTCAGTCTCCTTATCGACTTGGAAGTCGTCGACAAGGATGGGAAGGTCATTTGTCAAGTTTCCCTTCAACCAATCAAGACGTTCAAGGTACTGTGCGAAGTATGTGTGTATGTTGCCGATTGAAGTGAAAAGGTAAAAGGCTGCCGGCCAAGGATCCTGGAGTAGTGTCACTGAATGCAAAAGAGATGACGTCCAAGCGGAAAACCCACATCTCTGTTATCAAAGTCCTTCTCTGATGATATTATTAGAAAAGTGCGCTGTGCGTTATCGGAGTGTCGTACTTACTGCAGTCGAGAGTCCCCACACCGCAACTAGTCTCGGACCCTGTGCAACTCATCTGAGCTGGATCGCTGTTTGGGAAGAGAAGCTTGAAGATGTCCTGCACCCAATCGACTGTGTCGTGCTTCTCTGTCCCTTCATTGCGCAGATAGTATTCGGCAAGCTCCCCCCCATGACTGTGAAACCAGATATTTGCCCTTTTTTCCGGCGTACTGTAATCGTTGGGGTCGGTGCAGGCCCCGACTGGTCCATAATCAGGACTGAGATTGTTTGCCAATGGATTGTTACCGCCGCGGCGACTCATCGTTGGGGAGCCATTGACGAGACCGGAAACACAGAGCGTGTATGCCAGAAGGGCGGATGGATGGGACAAAGGGAGCATGGCAGCGAAGACTTGCCTTTGAGAGTAGGAAAGGATATAGAATGAGTAAAAGGAAAGGTGATACTTTGGAAAGACCAGAAAGCATTCGTCCTTTTATATGGACATTCGCTGTCTACGTACATGTAAATTCAGCCACGTAGACATATTGGCCCATTTTTACGCCCAGCATTGCGACCTTGGGATGGGGCTGCTGGGCAAAGATTCTAAAGGAATTTTTCTTGAGACTTTCCAATCTCCTTCTTTGTCGGCGTGCGATGCGGCCTTGGTGCCTGAGATGCCTGAATGCCTAAGATGAACGAGCTTGGTATAATTAGGGGAGGAAGTGGCGTCGGAGTGGTGGGATGCGGTCGTGTCTGACCAATTACATAGCGCGTGATCAGTCAGCGGCTGGAGTAGTTGAGGCTCCCGAGGTCGCCGCAAAGAGAGCGAGGCGCAGCTGGGGAATGCCCAGGAGTTCTCCCCAGAAGCGCGCAACCACCAACAGCTTTTCATGGTCGACCAATTCCGACAGCCCGGATCGCAGCATGTTCAGCGAACGGTCAAAGCTCGCATCGGCCGAAAAGCCGCACTCCTCTCTGTTTCATACTACCTGTTCAGCGAACGGTCAAAGCTCGCATCGGCCGAAAAGCCGCACTCCTCTCCGTTTCATACAGTCAACTCTCGATGGCGCGATGCGCGATATAACAATAACTTAACATAGCAATATTGTTTTAGCTCCTAAATTAATTTCCTACTAGAAATTTACAATTTATAATACTAACTATATTATAGGCTTTTTAATTAAATATTGTTATATTAAGAAAAGAAAATGCTATGTATAGCAATTACTAATAAGCAGTAGTGTGCTCTGTAATAATAGTATTAACATAATTAACTAGTTTAAGTAAAAATATAGCTATTAAATTTATTAGTTAACAGTATCTAAGTGTCAGATTGAAGCACTGTTTCTGGGCTTCCTGAGATGAATGATGGGTTTGGATATGATGTATGGGATGATTGATTGATTGTATTGATTTTATCGATCCTTTTTCTGCTCTACTCGTGTTGCTCGGCTTTTGTTTTTCCGATCCGAGTCCCTCGCGCACTAGCCCTATGCGCGACCAGCTTGCAACATGCTGCAATTTGCTGCAAAATGCTGTAACATGCTGCAATTTGCTGCAATTTGCTGCAACATGCTGCAAAATGCTGCAAAATGCTGCAAAATGCTGCAAAATGCTGCAATTTGCAGCAACATACTGTTCGAGCTTATTGCTCGTACTATGTAGCAGCTTTCGTCAAACGTTCCTCCTGTCTTGACAGTAGGTGCGCATATCTGACACTAAGTCTCTTCTAAAGTAATATAGCTACTTTAATAGTGTAACGGCGCAGGCAAGACAATGGGTCCGAATGCGGTGGGAATCCACTCAGAGGCATATGGGAGTGCGTGGGGACTCTGAACCTGGGAATGCCATTGACACCTATAGGCCTTGTACGAAAGGATATCAGAAAACTACCGAGCTAGCTACGGGGCGAGGTGCGACTAAATACATGAGGGAATAGGGGTAACAGCAGGGGGCAGGGCAGAGTCGGGGCCAGGTCGAGTCAGGGTCGAGCCAGGGTCGGAGCCGATACGGGGACCCTTCGGATGGGTTCCGGGCGACCTGAGATGGAACGAGAATCGTTACAAATAGTGCTAATAGCTCTGCTACTAACTACTTATATTAATAGTAGGCACAGTAGCTTATTTTAGAAGCTATTCTCTTTAACTAGCAGCAGCACTTTAAGAGCTCTAGCAGCAACGTCTCTAGCAATATCTTTATTAAGAAAGTAAAGGCTATTTATGTAACAGCACAGGCAAGACAATAGGTCCGAATGCGGTGGGAATCCACTCAGAGGCATATGGGAGTGCGTGGGGACTTAGAACCTAGGAATTTCTATTAACACCTATAGGCCTTGTAACGTACTTTACAGGCAAGTTGCTTACACACCTAAGTTACTTACTTTTGCTAATGTAACGGCGCAGGCAAGACAATGGGTCCGAATGCGGTATGAATCCACTCAGAGGCATATGGGAGTGCGTGGGGACTCAGAGACCTGGGAATACCAATGACA